AAAAAAAATTAAATAGATAAATTTAATTAAACAAATAAATAAATAATTATTAATTTTTATTTTTAATATAAATTTATAATAAAAAATATTTATTGTATCCATAGACGCAACTCAAACTTAAACAATGAACAAGAAATATTTAACAGCAGAGGGTAGCGGACAGTATTTATTGAAAGTATTCAACAATTTATTTTAGAACGTGCACTGAAAATTTGAAAAAGGCAAAGCATAAATTAAAACTTAGTGTCCAACCACTTCATGGTGTAGGAAATGAGGGCATCGAACTCGTCCCAACTGATGTACCCATCATGGTTTTAGATCAGCTTCAATCCTTGCGAGCCAGGCTCGGTAAGCAGGGAAGCGCGAACCGAGGGTGGCGAAGGCCTTAGATAGCTCGTTTTTGCTGAGGCGGTCATCTCTACTGGCGTCGTGCTTGAGGAAAACTTGTTTCAGTTCATAATGCAGCTGAGGCTTTTGCGGTTCAGAAAGCGGATTTTGGATTTTTGGATTTGGAATTTGAGGAAGAGAGGGCAACTCTTTGTTTGTGTTCCTGATGTAAATAACGTTAAAGGGGCTCCCGAGGTTGCTGTTTTGTGAGGCATTGTTTGGATTAACCTCAACAACAGCCATGGCTATAGTGTATAGCTAGCTAGAAATTAACGGAAACAAAGTAGATTCAAGCAAATCTATACATATGGTGTATGTATGTACATGGCTTCATGCATGGATGTGCATGATGAATTAATTAATTGATTGATGATTTATGTCATCGATTCTTCTGTTTTCTTCTCAATTGTAAATAAAGAAAAAGAAGAGGGAGTTTGATCCATTAATTGTGTGGAATCGAATTCCTTATCCAGACATGACCACCCACCTTAATAATAGGGGAATAAACAGGTACCTATTGCCCATTATTTTCGTTCAAGAGATTAACCTTTGCCATTGGTTTTAACTTCTTAAGGAAAAGTACCCATTCGGTTTTAGCTTTTCACAGACAAATACTATCAGTTTTTGATATATAATTAGGTGGATAAAAGTGTTGAATTATAAATAAAAATAATAAATATCACATATAATATAGGCCTGAAGTCAGTTTGAATAACATTTACGATTGTAAATGGAAATTGGAAAATCTAGCTTTCCTTTTTCGGTAAATGTTGGAAATAATAGCTGGCTGCTGGATTTGGACTTGCAGATTACAAGAAAAAAAAAAGAAAAATGTTATATTTATAGTGTTACATAATATTGTAAGATTGTAATTTTTTTTTTTTTGAACATGATTGTAATTTTATATAATATTATATTAATTTATAAATTTATAATATTACATAATATTATAATTATAATATTTTTTTTTAAAAAAAAATTCATAGGTACCAGACTAGCAGTCCAGTAACATGGGCTGGTGTCGGTTTGGATATGAGCCAACTCCACGTACCTCCATGGTCACAGTTCATCATGACTCCAACCCAAGTGGTCATTTCGTGATTACTGATTAACCAAGCAAACGAGCCTAGCGGGCTGGGTTTCCGCCCAACTCAAAGGTTTGTGCGAATTTAACATGTACAAACTCTAATAATCACCACTCCTTTGAGGTGGGGTGATGTGATTTTTCTATCGTTAATTATTAGTGTTATATATTTTTTTATTTTAATTAATTATTATATTTTTAATTTATTAAAAAATAAAAAATATAATTTTTTAAAAATATAATGTAAAGATATAATAAATAGTTATATTAAAAAGTATAATATTAATTATTTAAGGTGTGATAATATTTTTAGCAAGTGTGATAATATTTAGAAATCTAAGATTTAACCCTTGGTAATTTTATTCTTGATCCCTCAATTGTACTAGTTCCAAAAAAATAAACATGCCCCATTTTGGTAAATATGTCCCTAAATTAAAAAAACAGACAAACTAGCCCTTAATTAAACCGTACGTGCAGTTAAAGTAAATTAGCTCCTCGTTAAAAACCGTTAATAGTTTCTCTTAGTTGATGATGTGGTTAGCTGATGTGATTGATAATAAAAAATGATTGTCATTAATGCACATTTATCTAAAAATTAAAAGAAAATGAATAATTTCAATTTAATTTCTAATTTCATTTAATTGCCACATTGATGCATTGAGTCAAGTGCTCCTTTTAATTATCACATCAATTAATCTATTAACAAATGGCTAATTTGTTGCAATTTATGCGGTTCAAGGACATATTTGCTTGTTTTTTTAATTCAATGGATTATATACTAAAATGAGATAAGTTTAAGGGCTTATATATGAAATGGTTTTGTAGGGCAAGGTATTGGTTTAAAGGGTTGTTAATGTTATGATCCACAGCTGGAAATAGGCTTGGCAAATGGGCGAGTTAGGTTGGGTTTGGGTTAGGTCAACTCGGGTAATGTATTATATAGATTGGATTGTAAATGGATTGCAGATTGAAAAAATCCAATTCTAATTTGATTTTATCGGGTTACGGTTAATCCATGGATTGACCTTATTTTCATTTTTTTATAATTACTTTTATTAATTTTATTATATACAAATAAAATTTATATATTTAAATTTAATTAAAGTATTGTAACTCATTAACATTAAACATTTTATAGTCTCAACTATAAATATTTAAATTAAAAATAAATCATAATAAGTTGATTAACAATATTAAACTTCAAATATTTAAATTTCTTGAAAAATAAAGGTTTAATTTTACAATCATCTTAAAATATTATCAAGGAGTTTAAACCCTTTTTTTTACGGTAAAATTGCTCTTCCAAGAACATCTTCCACTAAATTATTATGTTTATATCTGAGCATCATATTTTTAATATTTTTAGTTGCATTATCATTTAATTTATGATATTTGATAATTAGATCAAACCCATATAATTTATAGAGAAAGAAGAAAAATTATGATGAGTAAAACCAAAAAAGAAATTCAAAACTATTTGAATAATGGAAAGAAGATTGAAGAGTATAAATTAACAAAGAGAGTTACCAAAAAAAAAATTAATTAAGAATAATAAATATAGTATTTATAAAAATCAAAATAATAAAATAAAATAAACAAATCAATCTATCAACTCGTAGGTTGATTTTAACTCGGCCCATGATTTGTACATGTTGACATTATGAGTTATCTACGAAATGTGGGTCGGAATATGTATATCTTAACCTATTTTTATGAGTTGGATTAGGATGAGGTAAATTTTTACCACCTCTAGCTGGAAATCAAGGGATTTTGTGTGTGTTTGGATGCCTCTGCTTGCCACAAATGCCAGTGATGGTCCTCCTCAACTTTCCGACTTTTTTGAGTGAAGGAAAGCCATCTTTTCCATTTTCTTGATGAATAAGTTTTTTAGACATCACTTTCTGGAGTATTGATTCTACGCGGGAATATAGTGAAAAAGGTACAATTTATTCAATCGTGGCATACACTACTCTTAATCTTAGGGGCTGAATTAATCCCTTGAACATTAAGATTTTAATTCTTGGCATCTTTGATGAGCTTTAGGTAGGTTAATTTTAAAGAATCATGTTTTGATCATTTGACGCAAGGAATGAATTCGTCCCCAGCATCAATACTATTAAAGAAAAGAAAAGATCGAACTGGTCGTTTTTATATTCCTCGCCTCTAGGGTTAGTTAATTTGCAGCAACCCAAGGATCAAATTACTTAATTTCTAATCATGTCTTCGCCCGGCGGCAGAAGATCATCTAAGAAAGCCAACAACAGCAATAATATCCGGAGCGGAAGATTGTCCTCGGTCGGTCGTTTTTTCAATCCGACAGTCGTTAGGCTGGAGGGAGTAGACGATTTCTGGAATCGACCGCAGCTATCCGGTGTAACTGTCTTCAATCGACCGCTGGGAGCCAGTGTACATGTCTCGAATCCACCGTAGCGAGCCCGTGTCCGAATCTGCCGCAGCCAGGTGCTGTCCCAAATCCACCGCAGCCAGGTGCTGTCCCAAATCCATAGCAGTCAGCCCTGTATGAGAAGCTGAAAAATCATTTCAATAAATACGATACCAGCTGTAAAGGCCGCCTTAACGAACACGAGCTCCGCAGGGCGTTCGCCGACCTGGGTTCGGGGTTTCCTCTGGTTCGAGTTTTTAGCGCACTGGAAGAAGCTGATAAGGATAAAGATCGATGCATAGGCCAGGGGGAGTGGGACGCCCTCATTCAACACACCATTACTTGGTACGATGGAAATTCTACCCAAACTTGATTTGCAATAAGCAAGCTAGCACCCTGCATGGCTTAGGTATTCCGTTTTTATCTTTTAGCCTTTGGATGTAGCTGGTTAATTTAATAATTTTTTATTTCTTTTTCACAATTTAGTGTGCTTGACGGGTATCAACAACGTACTACGTAAGTATAAAGATGTTCGGTTCTTGTATGTCTTGAAATTAAACCTTTATATTTTTTTAATATTATTTATTGAGTTTTTTTTTTTTTTTTTGAACAATGTGGACTTTTTTTCCGAGAAAGAGGGACTTGGGATTTGATCCCAAGTTCTCTATTCTTAACCACGTCCCGCAAGGGGTAGCCATTGGGCTACCAAATGCTGGACTATTGAGGTTTAAGTATTGCTAAAATTTATATGTGATATTAAATTGATTTCATATTTTATAAGTTATAAAGTTGTACTTATTATCATTTTGAATATACAAATAAACTATCAATGTTATAAGTAAGATCACATATGTTAAAAATTGCTCTCTTTGTTATTGATATTTATGCATCTCATGTAATTGGATCAATATTGTTTCTGAATTGAACTCCACCATACGGCCTGATTAGTCGCGCGCCTTAATGAGGGGGTGGGAGATCACTTGTTCTGAAAATCGAATTCTCAATTGTTGATAATTCCTAACCTAACTATTAACCATTACCCTAGTAAAAAAAAAATATAATTTCTGAACTGACTCACCATTTTAGAATATATATATATATATATATGTGTGTGTAGAATTCGAATGTGCAAATAATGGTTCAACTGTCCCATGTGTGTCTATGTTAGCATGATGGAAGGTTAAGAGTTTCCTTTACCAGAGTACGAATAGAAAGGTCTCCGAGAACACACAGGGCAATGGCTTCATGGTTTTTCAGTAAAGATTGGAATCAGCCACGCCTTGCTAGTTGAACTTTGGGTAGTTAAACATGCTATGGAAATTGCATGGGGTTTGGGAATACCGAAGACTTATTATTTTGGAAACGGAATCGATGCTTGTGGTTCGTTTGCGGTTTGAAGTACTTGCTTGATGCAGGAACGCCGTGCGGGGGGCGTTGCCTCCCCTGGGGGTTTATTATGTAAATACCAAGTAATTTGGCTTTTGTTCTCTTTTTTTTTTGCAAAAAAAAAAATATATCATTTCTGAGACTATGAGTGAGTGGGCTGAACCTGGGTCAGTCTTGAGCCCAACCCAGGTGGTTATTTCCTGATTATGGATTAACCAAGCAAACGAGCCAAGTGGGCTGGGTTTTGTGTCCAACTCAAAGTCAAGGTTTGAGCGAATTTGACAAATAAACAAACTAATTAACGGAAAGATATTTTTCAAAAAAGAAAAGAAAAGAAAAGAATAAAAGATGTAAAGACTTTAGGCCTAAAAATAGATAAATTATTATAAAGAAAATTTTAAATATTCAAACTTGTTAAAAAGAT